CCTTGTGGGACTCCGTGACCAACATTGGTGGTCTTTGAGGATTCACCGTTTACAAGCACAAACTGGGATCGATCCGATAAGTAGGATTTAAACCTGAGTGCAGTTCCTTTGATACCAATTAAATGTTCTCGTCTCTGCAACAGGATACAATGGTCTATGGTATCAAATGCAGCACTGAGGAATGAGGATGATGATGGACATTTTCGGTGACCAAAACTTCTTAAGCCTCTTGTGCTATCTGGATGACATCCTTGTCTTTGCTCCCAGTGAACATTTAGCTTTGCAGAGGCTAGAAGTAGTGTTTGAGAAGCTAAAGGCGCATAACCTGAAACTAGCGGCAAAGAAGTGCCATTTCATGCCCTCTGTAAAGTTTCTGGGGCACATTGTGAGTAAGGATGACATCTCCACGGATCCAGAGAAGGTTAAGGCCATTGTTGATCTGTGTGAGAAGGTTTGATGGATGAGAAGACCAACATTCCCTCCCCATCCAAGATAAGATGCTTCCTCGGGATGGTTGGGTTTTACCAACAATCCTTTGAAGCATACTCAAGTATCAGCAAGCCTCTATTTGCCTTAACATTTGGTGTGACAAAGCCGAAATATACCAAGGGTTATAAGGGACCTGTGGCTAGGAAGCTAACGTTGGCTGATTGGAGCCCGGAATGCAGCGAAGCCTTCTCTAAGTTGAAGCAGGCGTTATTGGAAAATGACACATTGGCTCATCCCGACTTCAGTAAGCCATTCCTGCTGTCCGTTGATGCCTCATCCAATGGCCTTGGTGCTGTGTACAACTAGCGGGGGCGATGACATGGCAAACCGGTGGCTTTTGCGAGCAAATCTCCCAATTATGCCCAATCACGTTACCCTGCACACAGGCTAGAGTTTCTAGCTCTAAAATGGGCTGGCCCCAGAGACCTCTATCTCACACCAGGCAGTGTGTGCGGTGCGTGTAATGCCACAAGGCTTTGTGAGGACGCTAACCTCTGTATGCTCGCCAAGGTGTCTAACGATTGGAGCCGAATGTGGTCCGTGTCCTGGTGGCTAGGGACCCAGCTGGCCAATGGGGTGTGTTCTGTGGTCCGACAACTGGGCAGCGGGCAATCTTGGCTGTGTGGATCTGGAGGTCCCACACAGGAGACAGACTGGTTAACACCGAGGTTGCCGTGGAATGACGGCTGAACAGCGGGGAGGGTGGATTGGACAACTGGGTAGCAGGCAATCTTGACTGTGTGGATCAGTATTGGACAGAGGATCCTAGAACGGGAAACCCACGACCGGGCCTATTGGAGACCCCAACCCTGACGCCGAGCATCGACAAGACGGTTACCTGAAAAGGGCGGGGCTCCATTGATGACCAGGGAGGGTGGTGGGGGGTCTGGCCAGAGGGGTATGGATGCTGGTGGCTACCGGTTTGACCTAGGCCACGTTTTAAAGTTGGGTGGATTCTCATGGACGAAGGAAATTTCAGACGGATTTCAGAATTTTGAGATCAATTATTCCCATGAGAACACTTAGTAACATGATCTGTGGTTTGCTCTTAGGTAGCAAACTGTGGCATCGTTTAGACACCAGCGTCATGGAGGCACAGAAGACTCAAAATGTAACGGCAGATGCCACTGCGGAGGTCCAGCGTGACCTTTCGGAGCCAAATATAAGCAGGCTGGAAAACAGGCTGGGAGTACTGGGAGAGTCAAAGATTACTGTATCAAAATATATATAGACTTGCTGTTGCGTTTTTGTGCACGCCAGCATCTTCTGTACCTTGTGAAAGGGTATTTTCAAAGGCCGCAGAGGTTGTGTCAAAATAAAAGAAATCGTTTAAAACCCCAAACTGTTATTTCTGAATAAAAATCAATAAAATGTCCATCAATGTCCAAATTACACAAGCATATTCAGTCCCCTCTTCCTAGTTCCACAAGCACTTTCACTGTCCTCTGCCTGCTTAAGCCCATGCCATTTTCCTAGAATTTATAAGAGGTGGCCAAAACAAAAAGGGGGAGACAAAACAATACAAATTTCAATGGCAGTAACAACACAAAACCTGGAACGAACATAATACGTTTAACTAAATTCAGAACCATGGATAAACTTTAGTTAATGCACAAATAATTGTATTAGACAAAATTACCCTGATCAGGACATCACATTTACACTCAGTACATTGACAAATAAAGCTCTTAAACAAAACCCATATAATCTTTTATTTATTTATCAAAGCAAAATGAATTTATTAGATTTGTGTGGCTTGAGTCCTGGCCATCACAAGGTGCAACTCACCATGTGTTGATGTGTTTCAGTGTGAACAGTAAAATAAATTAGACTCTGATGGCATGACTGTATGCACTGAATCTTTTTTCAATCAAAAAGGCTTTGCTGCTGTTACTTTACTGAAATACATATTTATTAGGGGGTATATCACAACAAAATTGAGCCCTTCCATCACGCCTTCAAACCCAGTGAGATGTTCATGCTAACTAGGCTCCTAGACTTTGTCAATGCTATTTAGCACTAAATGACAAAAAGCGTAGGTTTTGGTTATTGCACCTGATGATGCTGTCCCTACCATCAAGCAGAGCATTGGTCCTCTGTCCTGTTGTCCACCTCAACCTGATGAATCTCTGAGTCATTTTTGACCAATCATTGTCATTTGACCACCATGTTAAGCAGAGCTCTGTCATTTACAAAGGAAGCCAGCTCCCTTTTCACAGGGGTACTCACACAGGTATGATTATTTAACTATTTGAGTTCAGGCAGTAACCAATAGTCCGTTCAAACATAATGCATGATAAAATCAAAAAGAGTATGACATTTAAGAAGCACATTGAGAAGTTCAAATCTTCACATTGACAATATTTGTGATGCGTTGTGCAGAGAAAGTTCGGAATATAGCTGATGGCTGATATGGCCGTTTCTAATGCATTTCTTTGTGGTCTTGTGGCCAGCAGAGTGCAGTGTTTTCCTGATTTGTAAAGTAGCTTCACTAAACTACTGGTCTAAACTAAAAACCCAAACACACACTGCAGAAAGACCACACAGAATAATAACAGCACAGCTTTGCTTGGCTTCTCAGGTCAAGTAATGGGAGCGATCGAGTTGGGTGAACAGCTGCCATTTGACTGTTGACATTTTCTCACCTCAGCATTCATTCTGTGTATAAATTAAATACAGTGTAATTCACAGATGTACCTTTTTTGCATTGCCTTTACAGTCAATAGAATGCAGCACATTTAAACTGTCCTCGTCTGGCGGTCTGATGAGATCACATCCAGCAGTTATGCACATGTTGATGTATGTGCTTACCTCATCACATTTACTAAGTCAAATTGTAGGTAATGATTCCACAGAACATCGCTGTGATGATTTACTGTTACACAAGATGAATTGACTCTAAAGCGTGATGTATGTGATAAGACACGTGTGGGACGGCAGCACTGCTTCAGCTCAATTTAAACCGTGGAAGCGGGGATAGCTGTTCAAACCTGATCTCAAAGCACTCTCCAAAAGGCAGACAACACAGTAGGTCTTCTCCCCCATTTCCACTAATAATCCAATAATGTAGCTTCTACAATAGAGTGCATAGAGATATTCTTTACTTAATTTTCGGCTGTCAAATGAGAACGGAAATGATATCAGTAACTCTGCTTCTGGGAACTATACAGTTTGATCCTTCAATCCAATCGTTGAATGTACACTTTCTTTTTTCTGTACACTTTCTTTTTTCGACACACTCCTTTAACTCAAAATCACTTGTGTAATCCATCTAAGTGTTGTTACCTCCGACCCTCCTGCTTCGAAGCCTGTGTCAAAATATGAACCAGTGCATGGCGAAGCAAATGTATGTGACCAACTGTATGTGACCACGTGATCAGCAGCGAACGATCGTTGGTCAGTGACGTTCGAAGCTTCGGTCCGGCGCACAGTCACGTGACCGCTTCGATTTGATTCAAATGGGCTGGAAACAGGGTTCGGGCTTGTCGGTTTGATACAGTCAAAGTCAGTGTTGTTGTAGTAGTAGTAGTAGTAGTAGTAGTAGTAGTAGGCAGGCAAAGTCTGTCATTTGTATTGTGTAATTATGGATGTTTGTTTTATTGTGGAAACCACCAGATATTTGGCTGAGTATGAGTGAGTGAAGACCCGCTAAAATATTGGGTCAAACACAAACATCTACCTCTATTTGTATTAGCACGTAATATTTTGAGCATTCCTGCCTCATCGTGCTGTGTGAGCGTGTTTTTTCTAAGGTGGGGGAAATAGTTTCTACAAAAAGAAAATTGTGTTTCTCAATAAAAATTATATTGTTTACATATAACTCATATATCTATATATATAAATATATATCTTCTATTAATTCTTATTCTATTATGATCACAAACATAACATGCACAAAGGTGCAGAAAGACAAAGAAAAGTGTTTGTTCCACTTCTTGCCAATGTGAAGAGAATTGAAATACACAAACAAGGACACAATTCAAACCTGAAAAACAATAGTTTTATTCATATAGGAATCCATGTATTTATTAGATGATTTATTGGTTCAACTTTTCATTATCATGTTCAACCCACAGAGACTGGGCCAAAATATACTGGTAGTCTATTCGATACATTTGCACTATATGTTTTCAACAGCAGAGGTCACCATAGAGTTTGCGATGCATTGAATGAATGAACCTTTTTCCGATACAATTGGCTGGAAAGCTTTACTGGTTCAGAAAGCTTCACTTTGCCATCACTACTGTGCACCAATATTGATCTCCTACATTATGTGGTTGTGCGGAGCAAATACATACAGATGTAGAACGGATTCATTTGTTCAAGCAGGATTCAAGATTGTTCTCATGTATGTTTAAAAACCGACAGCTGAATATGCACCAGCGGCGGCCTGCAATGTGGAAAAACAAAGCAAGAATTGCTGGTTGTGTGTCCTGTAGGCTCCACAGTGCAGCGAGACAGAAACGTGGGACGTGGGACCTGCTCGACTTATCTGACATCGACTGGTCGAGCCTGCAGATCAGTGACCGAGCAGAAACCCGGAAGCAGTAACCGCAAATTACGAGCTACACAGCTCTACACCTACGTGACATCACTCAACATCTGTCTACACCTGTAACCCCGACGTCAGAGCAAGATGCCCGAGGCAAAGACACCGCGGTAAGAAGCGTACACGACGTCCACAGGGACGTAGTAGTCGCAACTATTTGTGCACGTTACGTGTTTGGAACTTGACGTGGATGCGCAGACATCGTGTGGGCAGCGCGTGCACGAATATACGGATCAGGTATCAAAGTGAGGTTCAGTAACCGTGGTCCTCGTGCTGTAAATGGTAAATGGCCTGTACTTGTATAGCGCTTTTCTAGTCTTCTGACCACTCAAAGCGCTTTAACAGTACATGACATCATTCACACACTGATGACAGGAGAACCATACACAGTGACACCTGCCATCAGTAACTAACATTCACACACTGTAGTCGCAGCTACAGGAGCAATGTTGGGTTAAGTGTCTTGCCCAAAGACACAACGACATGCGGGTTAGCCAGGCCTGGGATCGAACCGACAACTCTCTGATTGGAGGACGACCGTGCTCCCCACATGAGGAAATGCTGTGCTTTCCTCATTTGTGTCTGCGTGTTGCTGAAGCTCCTCTCTGCCTTTTAACACGCGCAGGTTCAAAGCCACGAGCACCAGCGCCAGCGACGGGCTGGAGGGCTTCAAGGCGCACGCTGTGTTCCAGGAAATCAACAAGAAGCTCCAGGAGGTGATCACGTGACTCGCACAATGTTAACTGTACATTACATTCACTCGTCTTTGGTGTGTGTATTCACTCTGACTTTCATTTCCGTCGTCCTTTAAAGATGCAGCTCCATGTGTTTGTTTTAGATGATTGTGCTGTACATAATGGGGTCAATCCCACTAGACGTATCTACAGTGTATCTAAGTGGAGTCAATGTTTTTTTTACAGCCAGATAAATCATTAAATTAGCTGAAGGGGCTTTACAGGGCACGCACCACAGCCACAGTTTGCCCTCCTCCCCTCTGGGAGGCGCTACAGGGTGCTCCGTTCTCAGACCAGCGGGTTCCGGAACGGCTTCATATTTTTTCAACGGCACTTTTTGCTATTTTGCACTCTGGTTGGATGTTAAACTGCATTTCGTTGCCTCAGTACTTGTACCCTGTGCAATGACAATAAAGTTGAATCTAATCTAATCTAACAATCTGGGCAGCATGCTACACCCTCCATCCGTAGGCCCTCGTATAGGATCAGAACAAAACACCTTTTAACAGCAGAATAAAGAATGGACAAAACCTGACAGAGAAGCACAGGAGCGACTTGCTGTGCGTCACATACTTCTATCACTTTTCAAACCGTCATTTCATGACTCAACCTAACGGTGTCCGAAGCTTTTAAAGAATATTGGTAGCCTCAATCACAACAGAATCATCTTGAGCCCGCCGGCAGGTTATGAATGGGATTTGTCATCAGTGATAAATTGGCGAGAGTGGAGCAGGATGACGTTTTTAGATGCTGTGCTTATTAGAGACAGAATCTGTACCAATTTTCTTCTTCCATATTAGTTAAATGTTCAGAAGGAAGTGGATTTTTCTGTTTTCTAATCGAATCACAGATTCAGAGTAACATACGTCCTACCTTTTCTTATTTGCTATATATTCAGTTGTTAAGTGATCTAGCAGTATAGTTATATGATTTAATGTAGCCACAGGAAGATAGTTGGCTTGAAACATGTTTCCTGTGTAGAAAGCCCATTTAAAGGTTTCATGTCGAGTCAATTATTTAGTGTTTCTCAAGATATTGAAATGTTGTCTCCTTCAGATTAACTTGTTAAATGCATTTCCTTCCTCGAAAGAAAGTCAGTTTTTTGTGTTAGTTTACATTTTTAAGCATACATTGTTTACATCCATGACGTCACACATCTTTTTCTTAGCACCACTAGTTTGGAAATAAAACCAATTCAGTTGTTTCTTTTAACATACTATACATGTACTACAAAGGTTCTATTCATTTACACACAGCCATTTACTGTGCTGAAAACATGTGGTTGTAAAGATCAATAACTAAAACGTGAACGGTTTTTATAGAAAATGTCTTTTGAATAGTGTCACATATAATGGAGGTGAGGATTGATGCATTGCCTCCTTAGCGGCGTGGTTTTGAGGTTGTAGTTGTGAATACTTAGTTTACATGCGATGCAGATGCTGAAGCGTTTGCTGTGTCAATGTTCTGTGTACTTTGAACAGGAAGGGGAGCAGTTTGTGAAAAAGATCGGAGGAGTGTTTGCCTTCAAAGTAAAAGACGGCCCGAATGGACAGGAGGCCGTTTGGTTTGTGGACGTGAAGAACGGGAAAGGCTGCGTTCACAATGACGAAGGTACCTTCCGATGTCTCGTATGATAGACCCATGCACGCGTGTTAAAATTTAACTATGGGTGGAGATTTAAGTTCAAAGTCCAAGGTCTGCAAAGGGTATTTTCTGCATAATGGGTTATTTAATAGATGTTTACATTTGTTTTTGCCTCAACACGTCACTAAATACATGTCCCTACGATGCATGTTCCTATTTTTGAACCGATGTGCATCTTTGACCTGCAGCTAAGAAAGCAGACTGCACCATTTCCATGTCAGATACAGACCTGTTGGCCTTGATGACGGGGAAGATGAACCCACAGACTGTGAGTATCTCTGTGTGGATGAGGTGGACTTGTGTACACGTGGTGTTCGTTCGTAAAGAGACCGTTATTTTCCACTCGAGGTAAAGGTGTCTGGGAGTATTTACGACATGTTGCGGTTGTATTGGCGAACTCTTGGAAAGACGTTGAGGGGTTGCACTTGCAGGGTGTCTCACCTGACGCTCTTCACCCTTTTCTGTTTTACTTTAGCAGCAGATCCATTGTTGTCAGCTGCGGGTGTCTCTGAAATTAATTACTTAATCCCAGTATTTCATTGACTCAAAGTTTATATTGATGCACCTTGTGTGTAAGGATTGGTTCACATGTTTTGTAGATGTTCTTGAACACTCACATGGGTTTATAAAGTGAGAGTTGAGCCAAAAGTTGAGTGAACAGTAAATACTAGAGACCTTTTTCATTATTGACTGCACTTTTGTAGTCTGAGAGATGAGGACAAAATTGGACTGCAATGGTGTGTGTGTGTGTGTGCGCGTGCGCGCGTGCGCGTGCGCGCGTGAAGCATCTTGTTCCTCTGAGCAATGGAGCGGCATCCGTCTTCAAAACAGAAGCGTGCAGTTTATCTCATACACGTTTATGTCTCTAGAACAATAAGGATAAATAAAGTTAAATAAAGTTTTTATTATTCATTTATCTCTTCGCCAGCAGGGGCCAAACCTGGTGGTGGAATAGCCTTAAGCTAAGCTAAGTGCTAGCTTAGCTTCCATGGCACTCCACCTCTTGAGTCTGCTTTTGGTTGCTTGTCCAGCTGCGTGGTCACCTCATTGCTCCGCTAGCGCGGCCGACCTTCTATGAGTGTATTCAGACGCTCTGACTTGTAACTGGAACTTGTGAATGAACATGCTGCTTAAAGTACTAGTAGTAGTAGTAGTACTACTAGTAGTAGTCGTCAAATGCACTATTTGATCCTGTAAAAATGGCAGCGCCCGGGTGCTTCGGGTAATTGGTTTGACTTGAAAATTGAATTTCAATTGAATTGTTTGAGGGGTACAAACCAAAAACGTAAAACTTTGAGAAATGGGATCCATGGGATTTGTTAACAGTACAAATAATAAAACAGTTGCTAGCTATTCCTTCTAGATGAGTATCTAATTACAGTTTAACAACAAATCTGATGTAGTCTCACAGTTGGAAATGCCCAAATGGTCCCCTTTTCTCTGCAGAATTTTCATACACAAATCATTTCCGTGAGGAGTCCTATGTCTAATTCACGTCTCTCGCTGGATTTACATGCAAAAGCGGAGCGTCATGAGCCCCGCGAGGTCCCTCGTACTGAGCGTGTGACGTGCTGACACAGCACTGTGCCGGAAGGCCACAGCGATTACACGTGTGAGGAGTCCCGGAGGCTGCAGTGTTCTTGTCGTGAAGGAAGAGCTGCTCGTGCTGCGAGAACAACCGTTTGCCTGCAGCTTCGTCCCTCATCCTTTAGACATTTCAACCGTTTGACTTTATTCATGATTCGCCCCTTTGTCATTTAAAAGCTAAATTTCCTTCTTTGAACCAAATATTTTGAAAATCTCTGCTCATCCTGACACAATGTTTTACCTTCTGCGGCCCACAACTTCCCCCCCCTCGCCCTCCCCAGCCTGTGCGCCATGTAGTTCCCTGACATTTCATAAGCTGTTGTTGCCGCTGCCCCACTTTCCCCGGGTTGAGTTAATCTCTCACGGTAACTCTTAAAGCGACCAGCATGTAGTCCAACATAGAGCGAACTGTGCATCGGATTCACATCTGACCTCTTATTTAGTTTTTTTTTTTTTCTACCTCTCAGGCGTTTTTCCAGGGCAAGCTGAAGATCACAGGGAACATGGGCCTGGCCATGAAGCTTCAGAGCCTGCAGCTGCAGCCGGGCAAAGCCAAGCTGTAGAGGAGACGTCGGAGCGGGCCGTTACTACGCCTCTGTAGAACTCAACAGAATTAACCCCCGAATACTTTAACAACAACAACTTCAAGTGGATGTCGAAGGTCTGTGGAGCTTCTCGTCACAGGAACGAACCAACGTCCCTACTCTCGAGACGCACTACATTACTGACGCACTGCCAATACAAACTGGAGAAGAAATTAGATTAGAACTAATAAAGAATTCTCTAATCAAGTCCCTCTTATTATTCTCCCAGTACACAGAAAAAGGGGCTCTCTATTTATAGATACAGATTTACTTTACAATAACTTCCCAATTTAATAATGACTGTTGTTGAAGGAATCTTGCTTTGACTTTATTATGTCCGTACATGTTTTTGAGTAGAGCTGATTATTTCTGCCATCATGGACGCGTATAAGTGCCTCCTCATCTTAGATGTTTTTTCACTGTGGCCACTCAGCCTTCCAACGGAGGAGGAGGGGCAGGAGAGAGGGGGCATTTTCTGCTATTTTATCATTGTATGAATCCCAAACAGATTTCTACTAAATAAATGTGCCTCTGCTGCAACGTCTTCTGTGTGGTCTTACATAAACAAAGCTGGCCAGAGAAGTCTTAACGGCGAACTGGCTCATTGAACCCGACACAAACACATGCTGAGGTTTGCTCCCCCTTCGCAGCACCTCACGCTGCTGCAACAGTGTTCCAGACTGCCACGCTGTAGATTTTCCTTTTGTGAACGGAGTCAATCTGTTAACTAGCTCTGACCCAGATTCCACTGCAGCTTGGCCCTCGCACTTTTACTCTGTGGATTTCACTCCAGGATTCCATCTAATGTTAACTTCAAGTGTGATTAGGAATATTGGCATCAAACCTTTATTTAAAACATGCTCCAAAATTACAACAATGTCACACGTGTGGTTCCAAAAAGGCACACGGAAGTTGTTGAATGACAGATGTTTCTGTTCTCTCACAATCTTGTCGTCCAAAAAATGAAAACTTAAAGGGGACATCGACCAATTTTACTCTGCAAGTTGACGTAACAGGTCGTGGAGACTCGTCGGCTTGTAAGAGCAGCGTCGCTCTGGAGGAGTTTAGTTGGGTAAAAATAACCCTGATGGTGTCATCGCTGTTACCTTCGCTATAAGACAAATGGTAACAAATAATAAAAAGTATGCAGAGGAAGAAGGTTACCAGGAAGAGGGTCTATCGGAATGTGCAGTTAGTCAGCTGCATTGTGGGAAATGTGGGAAAAGTCATTGTTTTTAGGAGAGGCGTTTAATGTCCTGTGATACTGTGCGTTAATGCCAGAGCTCATCGTCCATGATGTCTCTGTTGCAAGCTCGTCTCCTACAAACAAACTGTGTTTCGACACAAGTGCACTTTAAAAAAAAAAGTTAAGTCAAGCACATTGGTCATGAAATGAAGCAAAACTAATTTGCAACAAACCCATTTCACATATTACAGGACCAGTAGATTCTGGGTTGAAAGGATTGTGTTTTTTGATAAATCGAACCACCGCAGAGCAGACATACTTTACTTTAATGACTCACTGGAAATGTTTTTTTTAGTCAAAATTGACGTCAAAATATGTTTCCCTCGAAATGAGCGTAATTCGCAATGCAGGCTCGTTGTACGGGAAGATAATTTCTAGGAGACTGTCTGTTGTCACCATGACCCCAACATGATTAAAATGTTTTCTACTTTCTCATAGTTACAAAACCCACCAATGGCTCAGCTTGTGTACACGTCATTGCTGTCCGGGGAAATGATTATCTGCTACAAGTTGTGTGTGTACGTTTGCTTGCAATATACTTACCAACAAATAGACTACGTGCTGTAAATGCACCGTGGTTTAATAAATGCAGCACTTGTGTGGTGAGCAGAGTTAGTTTATGAGTGATGATTAAGAGTGCGGCAGCTGAAGAGCTTTATTGGACTCTTTTTTTTCTTAGAAACTCACTGTCGTGTCACTGTGTTGAGTGCCTGATCCCTCTGGTTCTGTGTGCACAAGAAACAAAACAACCTGTTCGAAACAGCCGTACAATGGATCTGTTAACAAGGTTATTGCTGTTGAATGAAATAATGGAAACTCAAAACATGTCAAAACAAGAATATGTTTTAAACAGTTTAATCCAAAATGAAAGTGCATGTGTATTTCAGACCACATCTATTCAAAGTGATTAGGCCTCCTATATTTGTGATTAGATCTCACTTGAAACCATGTGAGACCGGCAGGCCTTTGTTGGATCCAGTGGAACGTTGGCCAAGTTACCACAACACAAATGTTTTACACTGAAACTGATGGAATCAATTCTCGGGAAAAAAGGGAAAGAATGTTTGTTCTTGGCTCCAATTCAGGTTGAAAACACTCTCTCTTACTCACTCCCTTCCTTCTCACTCTCGCCCGTTCCCCTTCCTTTCTTTCTCCTAACTTTCTCTCTCCCACTCTCTTTCTGTCCCACATCTGGAGGGTATCAGCTGTGGTTGTGTGACTCCTCGTCGGATAAGGGACAGCCTGCATTTGGACTTCAGACTTCAGTGCATTTCGGCAAAAGTTGGTCGGACGGGATAAGGTAGTGGACCAGAACCTTGCTTTGGCAGACTTTGCTGCTTTTACGGTTGGCTGTTAAATTATGTTAAATATGTGCAGCTTAAAATGTAAGCGTCTGAGTCATTCATCCACGCATGACAATGTGGCTCGTGTACTTGAGACCAGAACCAGACTGCTTAACGCTGCGATAAAGATACTCCACATCTGCTCATTTGAGACGCATTGAACAAAGATGACTTTTAAATTGCTCAGCATCTTTGCATCTCTGCATGCTGCTTCTCTCACCCTGTATGTGTGTGTGTGTGCGCGTGTGTGCCAGTGTTTGGTAGATTTTCTTTCTTGCAACACACAGACCACTTTTAGACATTGCCATTAAACGCCTCCCCCTCGGAATATTTTTTTTCAAATTTGGTGCGCACAATTGGAAGAGCCTTTTCCTTGCTTTGCCCAAACCACTGTATTGTAAATACCAGTAAATGCTTCTTTTCTATATTTAGAAAGCATGTGACTCTCATTCTTGCTTTTTTTAATCGCCAGTAGCTGAGGATTGCAGCCACAGCAGAGAGAGAGCACACAGGACCGGCAGTGTGTTGTTGTTGTTGGCCCGGTGCGTAAACAATGCAAACCCTCCAGCAGTTAAATACGTGTATTTTAGGTGTAATGATACACTTTTTAACTTCACTGTCCAGGTGCTCGTGCAACAGGAGAGCTCAGCAGAGGACATGTCCTTCCCCAGGCATTCCTTCCTGCAGGCCCTGAGTGTGCTGCTCTTGGCTTTGGTGTTGGTGCGTTGCCAGGCTCCTCTCAAAACAGAGGAAGAGGACGAGGAAGAGCGAGTAAAGGAGGCCGCCACTGCAACAGAGGTGACGGAATCTGAGCCGCTCGAATGTCCGGCTGAGTGCAGCTGCGCGGCAGAAGGAGCGGTGGACTGCGCTGGAGTCGACCTCACAGAGTTCCCCGCCGAGCTGCATGACCAAACGCGCCAGCTCTCTCTGCAGGTCCGTCACGCAACTGCACTGTGCGTTACTGCAAACAGTAACGCACAGCCACATTTTGAGCCTCTTCTGAACTTTTATTTGCTTTTTGTATTCTGTCTCCTGATGCCAGAACAACAAAATTGCAGAGATAACGGTGGAGCACATTTCCCATCTGCATCAGCTTGAGACGCTCAACCTTCAGAACAACTGGCTCACCACTAATGGTAAACACTGTGACAGTCTGAACAACGGCAGTAACGTGCTGCACAGCAGCGGGAAGGGGCCAGATCACCTACAGATTTGACTGCAGTGAGTGTTGCTTTGTGATGCTCAGCAGTGGCTCTAGAGTCAGAGCCTTTAAACTTGATTCGGCACGATGTTTGGCAGCGTAAAAAGGTTTGTTTTAGTTTAGTTTGTATACTGTTGCCGCAATGTAACTGTTCCTATACAATCAGACTTTGCTGCCAGACTATGTTCTGCATCCAGGAGAGGAAGCGCAGTCAGCAGGGACTTTGGATTGATTTGATGTAGATAACAGAACGGATGGCTGTGTTCTTCCAGCGTCAGGTGGCACCCACAACAACACAAACTAGGATTTGCCGCCACATACAAGCCGATAGAGAACCATGCAGAATGCATATGCTGTCTGTTATTTTACAACAATATCCAAAATACATGTAAAATGGCCAAACAGACGTTGAACCTCCACCTAGTGTTCACGGTTTCAGCTAGAGGTGGTCATCATCATTCTGACTAACAGCGGTGCTAAGATGATCAGACAGGTTGCTAACCCTTCTTCCTGGCCTTTACCCTCTATAGAAAAGAAAGTTTGTGTGAAAACACAATAGGATGAGATTATGTAGGGGTGAATTTTAAGATTAATTCAATATACATTGATCAACAATATCACTGACTGAAGGCAGCGATACTGTATGCTATTATCAGTAATGATGTAATAGTGCAGATAGCGGTTAGCTGATCAGCCTTGTGAAGGTCCTGAACATTTCCTAAGAAGTCATTTCAACTGTTGCGGAAAAAGACTCTCAGCTCAGTTTATTCTGAACCTAAACCTTTTTTGACACTACAACTTTTCTGGTCTGAGGTAAATGAATTTCTAATTCAATGTTTTTTTCTCTTAGGCCTCGAAGATGAAGGTTTTGAGATGCTTGAAGAGCTAGCTTATTTATACCTGGCAAATAACAAGGTGAGTCACAGAACTATATCATATGATGACCTCAAATCTCGACACCTTTATTTCTCTATATTTATATGATTCTACAGCAACGTAATCTTTTCTGTATTCATCTCACATTAATTTAGCTCCATTCTCATCTGATACCCTATAATAAAGCCAGCTGGCACAGAGAGGTGGCAGTCTCCTCTCATACACTCCATGCAAGCTTATGCTTGTAATCACTTCCAGCATGGCGGTGCCAGCTGGTAGAGGCTAAAATGTTACTCACCCTTTTGGACAAAAAGCGAGAAAGAAAGGATGGACAGATTTGTTTGTCCCTTCACAGAGATGAATGGTCAAATAGAAAGAAGAGAGGCTTTTTAAGTGCTCAGTAAGCCTCAAAGAAACCCATGCTGCTGTAATCCATAAAGCATTTCATAGAGGAGACAGAGCGCTAAGTGAACATCTAATCTCCCCCTTGCTTCCTGGATTTTTTTTGTTGTACAATCTAGTGCTTGTTCTGGTACGAGAGTAAAAATATGTATAAACTTGTATTAAGGGGCACACAGCACACATGATATAGGAAATAGGTCTCCCAAAACAACATCTCACATGCTTTTTTTTCTTTCATTTTAAATGTACTTCTCTCCACCCTAAACCATGTACACTCTTTTATGTAAGTTGGTTCTCGTCCTTTGTGTAATTGGAGTTCCCTGGTTTATGTGTTACTGTGGTGTTCTTTTAACCTTGTGGTTAGATGTATGAATGTGAGAGTGAATGGGTGTCTGTCTCCATGTCAGTCCTGTGAAAATAAGGCCACTGACCTGCTGGTGGCACTCATGAATATTCAGGGGATCACCAAGGTCTTTATAATACTTTAGTCAGGGACCAAGACTTCCTGCACATTTCACTTCATTTATTGATAATGGGTTGAGAGGACCGACCGGTCCTGAGTGAATCGAGTGGTGGACTTTGCCTTCTCAGCTGTACAAATGTACCATCATGCTCCTTTTCTTGTGCTTGCAGCTCAACTCAGCACCAAGAGTCCTACCACCCTCTTTGGTTAGTGCTGACTTTGCTGCTAATGAGCTTACAAGGATCTACCCATATACTTTTGGCCATAAACCGAAACTGAGGTACGAACGTGCATGTTTGTGTAAAATGTGAAACTTGTTCATGGATTCATGTCCATTTATACATGGCAATGTCCCCTCGACCTTCTACATATTCCCTTTTCCTATTTTCTTTTGTATATTTCCTTTTATTGAATGGACTGTGTGTTTCTGTACTAGAGGGCACATGTAACCCAACTCAAATCCATGCATGCATGAGCGTACAATGATAAAGCTGATTGATCGTGACTTCTAGGTCTGTGTATCTCCACAACAACAAGTTGTCTGATGCAGGCCTTCCTGACCACACATTCAATGGCTCTGACAACCTGGAGATCCTCACCCTGTCCAGCAACTTCCTGCGGGCTGTCCCGAGGAACTTGCCCTCCAGCCTTTACCGTCTTCATTTGAAGGTCCAGCCCTTGTTTGTATTTAGATGTCAGCTGAAAGACAAACCTTGTGTTTCTTTTCATTCATGAACATTGTATATGATGATAGCACACGGATCGGTCTTTTCGGTTCAGAGTAACAAGCTCGAGAAAATTCCAGAGGGGGCCTTTGACAGCTTGCCAAACCTCAGAGAGCTGTATCTCCAGAACAACCTCCTCAGCAATGAGGGCATGGACAACGAGACTTTCAGGTGAACAAACACTTAGTAGTTCACATATTCTAACATATTGATGCTATGGCCAAGTAAGTCTTCACTAAGAAGAGTAGAAAAAAATGTCCTGTACTATGGCATGCAATAGAAACTACGCAGGACTGATTTAATGACTTTCTCTTCTTCTATTCTTTTCTCCTGCCAGCCAACTGGGCAGCCTGGAGTGTCTGGACCTGTCAAATAACAATCTGAGCGTCGTCCCCGACGGTTTGCCCCGCAATCTAGTGCTACTACACCTGGAGAAGAACTCCATCAGCAGTATCCCTGGAGGCGCTCTTGCTTCTGTCCGCAACCTTGAGTACCTGCTACTCCACAACAACAAGCTGCGCTCACGTTCCATCCACCCGACTGCCTTCCAGGTAAAGGTCTCTTGAATACATACTTTTGGATCTTCAACAGGAACGCTGATCTGTGTACAGATATGGACATTTAAGGTTGCATCTTTGGTTGTAAGTAAAGGCTGGAGGAGATGATATGCTTGACTGCTTCTTGAATAACCAAACTGCATTTTCACAAGGGCTTGAAGAAACTGCACACCCTTCATATGTACAACAACTTGCTGGAGCGAGTTCCCAGGGGCTTGCCTAAGCGTGTCAAGATACTAATGATGCTGTACAACTCCATAACCGAAATCAGCCGCAATGACCTGGCCCTGTTGTATTTCCTGATCGAGCTCAACCTCAGCTACAACAAACTGACCAGCCCCAAAGTGCACCGCGAGGCCTTCAGGAAGCTTCGTGTTCTGGAGACCCTGGATCTGTCTGGGAATAGCTTTCAATCGATTCCCATGGGTCTTCCTCGCAGTCTGCAGGTGCTCAGGATCAAGAACAACCAGCTGAACTCCATACCGCACGGTGCACTCAGGGGAATGGTGAAGCTACAAAAGCTTGTCCTCAGCGACAACCATCTCAAACTGAATTCAGCGTACCAGGGAGCTTGGATGGAGCTCAGTGCGCTCACAGTGAGTGGCTAGTGGCTAATCAAACATGTCACATGTTGAACGTTAAAGCGAGATGGTTTGAAGCCCTTGTCTGCTGCAGGAACATATCCTATCATAACCTAGACTTTTACGATTCTTCTGAAGCTTTGTATGGGGTTTCTATTTGCACTTCCACTGGGACAGGTCGCTACGGTGACAGCGTCTGTGTGAGTGCCGTCTGTGGTTTCGGCTGACAACTCTAACTTTTCAAAGGTATTTTATGAGTTGATAGAAGTTACTTGTGACATTATAGTAGCCTAAAAAGGTCTTATTCAGTTTTCAGCTATACCTTACTGTAACTGTAACTTCTGGTGCAAAAAACATAAGTTGGACAAAATGCTAAACTTAAAAACAGCATTCCATTAACCAATGGTTGACATCTCAGTTACCTCTTATTGACAGGCAATGGTGTTTACCGTGCGACATCTAAATTTATCAATTGTCTTTAAATACTATTATATTATTAATGTTAGAGGTGTCAAGGGCACACTAAGAGAATGTGTTCACATCAAGTGTAAGCAAAGCCGTTAATGCTTTATCACCCTACATTGGTATTTTGCTGTGCACGTACAAGGTCTAGCGCGTAAATGTAGTGGTGATAGTCCCAATACTTGAGCTGCATACGCAGGCGTCCGAGTCGAGTCACGTTGAGTGTACAAGTTTGCTGTATGATCTCAGATTTGCTCCTGCAGTGGAAAAGGTACTATCGTCCAACAAGATTATTATTCTTTTTTACAGTAATTTCTCACATATATACTGTATAATTATGTTCATTATTTATTGAGGATTTTGTAATTATAGACACTGGACCTGTCCAGCAACGAGCTGTCACACATCCCCTCTGACCTGCCTGAGTCTCTGGAGTACCTTTACCTGCAAAGCAACCGCATCTTCAGCGTTCACGCTTCAGCATTTGACGGCACTCCGAACATTAAAGGCATCTTCCTCCGGTAAGGGACTAAGAAATCATTTCTCATCAAGCAGGAGGTTGTTTTTTACCAGTTAAATGCGTGTTTTGTGTGTGGATGTTAAACTCCATTCACCTCCCAGGATTGTTTGTACAAGCTCAAAGTAGCTGCACGACCTAAGAGGCTGTGGACTTAACCTGACACTGTTCACCGTCCTCAGGGATATTCTTTGCAATTGGATTGATCTCTGCTCAGGATATGATCACACAAGTGCAACCGAAGAATAACATTATTTTATGCTGCTCTGTGAGCATCCAAAAAACAGCTGCATTAGGGAGACACACCACAATCCTCCTCCCTTTTAAAATTCAGTGCGGAAAGCTCACAATCCCTGAAACAAGCGTGTTAAATAAATGAAAGTGGTGTTGGACTTTTGCAAAACTTGGATTTGGCAACTCTTAATATAAAGCAATAGTTTAACATATTGGAAAAATATGAGTATTTATGACACTACAGATAGCGGCTGGTGCTGTTTAGCTTAATGTAAAGACTGGAAACTGCTGGCCGCGCTATGACCAATACTAACTAAATCTGCTTAAAAGCAAGCTCACTATAACACATTATATGTTACGGGTTTAATCCATACAAAACCTAGACATGTAAAAATTACCCCTCAAAATAAAAAATGTCAATAACAAAACATTTTTTACAAAATACATTTTGATATATTTGATATATTTAGCAAATTTGTGCAACCCTGGTATTACATTAAAGGGTTTAATTCCTCATACCATAGTGTTAACTGTAAAAAAAACATTTACATTTTTTATATTGTTTCAGTGTCATGTGAGTGAGATGTTGCATCATACAAGTGAACCTTGAGATAAACTTGGTTCCTGGTTTGTTACTAATCAGCTAAATTTACTATGAGTTGACCAAGCTTCATTTTGCAGAGTACTGCAGTGTGGTATCTCATCTCTCCATCTCTTGCTGTGCATTCAACAAATGTTCTACTTTGGTTTATTCCACATAGTGCAGGCTTATACCAACAAGCACTGCAGCTGAGAGCAGCAGCCTGGCAGCAGAATAAAAAGGTTCCAAGGCTTTTGTTCTGTTTGGTTGTCAGCCTGACCTCAACCTTGCTGCTTTGCAACTCACAACTCTATAGGCCTTGACCTCTTCCAGGCTGTCATGCTCTTCTGGCCTTCATATCAGCTGTTGCCACATTCCTTTTTTTTACGCCAAAATCCCTCCAAAGCTCGGAGCTTTGGTCTTAGCCAATGGGGAGTCACCGGATATGCTCTCCATCATGTGACGAGGGAATTGGATTTGTGTGTGCATTCATTACTAGTTGCGTGTTTATCGGGGGTTGGCTAGTGGTTACACTTTATGGACAACCTGTGATCATTGTCTCTGATAGAAATGTTAGTGGTCGTTTAATTATAAGTGAGTGAATGTTTTATAAACCTGTTTCAATGTTCTGATCCTTGTGTGGAGCAAAGCTGACAGATGGCAGATGTGATTTGCAAAGGTTCCCTCCTGTCTGTCCCTTCTAGATGCGAGGGTTTCAACTTTCTAACTGTGGAAGGTCATCAAAAGTAAATTATGATCAAGACGCTTCTCTATTTTTCTCCTCCTTCAAGGTTTAACCGCCTCTCTGGGGTCCCTGTGGACGAGAGCTCATTCGCACACCTGTCCAACTTGCAAGTGCTAGACATTGGAACAGGAAACAACAACAGCCACTTGAAAGGAGAGGAGATGGAGGAGGAGCAAGAAACATAAAGATGTGCAGGATTAAACTGGCGTTGGACTATATTGTGTCAAAGGTAGAAGAGCTTTTTAAATGGATTTGTGATTGTATTTTTCCAGGTTCATTATACATGTTTCTGGTGCAGGATACCAGATAAAGTTACTTAGTTTCCATATTTTGGGCTGGTTAGTATACCATATCTTTATATCTGAGCTTTAAACATATTTTTAGTCAATCTATCATCTAAATTGTGTTTTCCGGCGTTATTTAAAAAAAAGAAAATAATCCACAGAAGTGGAGTTTCAATGCCCCAAATCTAAGCAAGGTGAGTTGTTTACAAGGTTTATGTCTGTGTTTTATATCATTTTGTTCCTTAAAAAAGTGACTTAATCAAGAAATTTGTGTTTTTGTTTGCCAGTGTTGGAAGATAAGTAATTTCCAAATAGAAACCAACAACGCTTCCAGAATTTCAAGTTATGGAATTAAAACACTGCAACTGGAAGTTTAAATTATCAATCAATTAATTTCTTAGTCATGAAATGCCAGAAATGACAAATATTCATCACAAGCCAAGTACTTTTTCAAATTATTTAATTTAGTCTGGTTAACAACCCAGAAATCTCATTCCTTCATAATGATTGGAAAAATAAAAAACAAAATTACAAGCTTTTTACAATTCTTAAAGGCTTTAGCATATCAAGGACCACGTTTTGATGATTAATAGCTTATTTAAATGAATCAAAAAGGGATTGATTGGATGGGATGCACATATTGATTAACAATTCAGTATTTCCGCCACTCGAAGCAAATTGCATTTACTTTTACCGGCAGATACAGCAGCGATGGTCAAACTGACAACTTAAATGTTAAAGGACAGTTGACCTAAAAATTATTGTCAGGTGAGAAACAAAATAGTTTGTACATGAAACGGCCCACAACAAAGTCTATATTTACAACATTAAATAAAATTTAAAAAAAAATTACTTTTGATTTTATAGTGAAATGTTACTATTAGGAGAACAGCAACAATCTTTAAAAACAATGAACATGAAATGTTGTTGATTTGATCATCATTTTATTATTCATTTGCCACGTGCTTGTGAATGAAATATTCCAGACATAAAAGCAATTCCAATCCATGCTTCTGCTATTTTAGTCCGTTCCTGCTTCTTCTTTTTTTTGATAACAAATATTTTTATATGACATTTAAAAACCTCAAAGTATTACACACCACTATATTGCTATGAATACAGTGTCACTTTTACATACGGCAGTATATTATTGTCATATATACAGTCATTGAACACAGCAATAAATTATTTTAAAAGGCTGAACAATGTGCGTTTCCTAACATTCATCACAACGTTAGATTGATATTTGAGCAGGTTCATAGTGCGGTGTGCATTCCTTATTTGTCTCTTTCATACATTGTATACATATACATGTATCTATTGATTCAAATATTCAATTGCGATTAATCGCATGACGTTTTCGCGGTTAGTTGTGATAATGCATTAACGTGCCCAAATGTATATGCTCTCATTATATAAAGATACTCCTACGAGCAGCTAATGCATACATCATGTTCTATATGTACCAGGAACTGGAAAGAGCAAAGAACACATCTCAAAGTACAATCTGTTATCTTTCCATGAGAACAATATCGGCAGCCCATTCCATCTGAAATCAATGACAGTGGCTTTGCACAGACAAATTGGTTAATAAAACGAGAAAATTCAAGACGTTTTCACTACAATGAGATTCAGCCTTTGTGCCCAAAGGGTTCAATTCCATGTGGAAGCATTCATCTTTAAAAGATATGTGTCCACTTAATAAACACTCCATGTTGTCATACCTCCTGATCACACTGGCCACAAAGCAAAACAAGTGAATTTCATAACGTATTTTTGTGAGCTGATGCCTCAAAGCACCTTCTGTCCTGCACACACCTGCCAATTTGATTTGACTGATTTTACAGAAAAAACAAAGTCAAATTTCAAATGTCTGCTTACCATCGAGCAGGGTTTTTAAAGCATGTCACCCTGAGCCTCGTCTTAAACAAAGTTTGTAAAAATCTGGCAGCAGCCTTGGGAAGCTGAGAAAAGAGCGACTAAAACTACTTCTCACTTGACTTATTATGTCAGCAAACATTGAAATCATGAGTTTATGGTAACAATCACTAGTTTCTAGGCTGCTTTAAAACCGCACAATGATCATTCCTTAAATAATGTTCCTATGCTTTCATTCACTCCCATACAGTGTATATAGAATTAACCTAGTATCCATATGTTGTAGACAATGGACAAATCAAATGAAGAAAGCTAAATTCCCTTTTTTTCTCAACAATATTTATTGTCAGTTTTCAATTTGTACTGGATGCATTATAATTACTACATAAACTAATAACAAATGCATCTTCTTCTCTCGTAAAGTAAAGGCTGCATTGAAAATTACATTCTATAATGGAATGCCTAAAATATTAAATAGTAAGTAACTAATTTATGAAGACTGTATTGAACTGAATTGTCTTGGCCTGCAGCTTTAAATGCAGTTAATTAAGGTGTGAACTGAAAAAGCAAGCTACTTTTTTCCGAGTAATATAAATCATTGCAGGGTAAAATGTTCTTGTTGAAACCCTTCTGTTACCATCATTGCTGGGCAGTGAACTATTGGGTTTTGATTCTGATCTTATTGGACTCTTAGGTTCATGTTCTGTGCCTGTGTCTCGTAGTGGTGCCATTTTCGCATATCCACAAACCCTCAACAAACTATTAACCCGATGCTGTTTTCTGTCCTAATTCATTCGTTCCTGGGTTTGGGAAACTCGTCATATTCCCTGATTTCTTTAACCAGATCACACACAATTACTGAAAGCTATGTGTGCTACTTTCTATAACTATAGATGATGTCAATTTTGTTCCACCTCCATTCACAACGTGATCTCCAAAACCTGTTCGTAAAAATGTATACGAAAATCTTGAACATACAAATTGGTAACAATACATAGGAACTGGCGGTGGTTAACCACGCCCCTTGAGTGAACAACATGGCGGACCATGTTGGATTCTTGAGTGAACGTCTCTTCGCCATGTTGGATTTTTTGAGGGGGTTAGAGTTAGTATTCTAACATTGATTTCTCGTTAAAAATGCAATCATAACACGTTTATTTTACATCGTTAGACTTCACAAAGTGTGTAGGTCCCCATTCACTTTGAATCAGGAATCAGGAATCAGGAAACATTTATTAGCCAAAATATGTCAAACATACAAGGAATTTGTCTTGGCGATTAGTGCGCGACAATAGGGTGACGTCATCAGTTGCAGTCCGTATTTATTTAGTATGTATCACTACGACGTCATCAGTTGCAGTCCGTATTTATTTAGTATGTATCACTACGAATTTGTATCTTCAAGATTTTTGTATACATTTTTACGAACAGGTTTTGGAGATCAGGCTGCCATTCACTGAGCCTCACCTGAAATAGCAACCACTGGGCAGGAGTACTCCCACTTTGAAAACCCCTGCTACAAAGACAACCTTTAAACAAATGGACAGTGAATGATCACCATGGCGGGAAGTTTATTTTCTGCCTCAAAACAAAGTTGTTAGGGTGCAATCAGTTCATGGCCAGTGTGAGCAGGAGTAACGTGTTACCATGAACCGCATGGCATCAACATGTTGTCGACTAATATGTTAGATCCAAAGTAAGTTCATGTTTGTAGAAAAAGAGAGTTCAGGTGTGGTGTGATATTTATTTCCCTCCACCAACCATCAAGGAGCCCTCGGCCGATGGTGAACTGTGGTTGTTTTAGGCTGCAGGGAAAGTTGAATTGAATGTGGCTGTTCAAACGAATCGTTGTCCCTTGTACCACAGTTATATCATGACCACAAGGGAAATTCTAATTTTGGATTGTTTTCTCCCTGTCATCCTTTCAAGCCAAACACCACCAGCTTCGTTAAGGCAAAATTAAACAATACAACTTTTCCTCCTCTTCATTCAGCTAAAACCAGACAACATGGTCTTGACTCTTATAATAACGCATATAGATGGTTGCTTGTAGTCGTATAAAATAAAAGACTTGTTTTATTAACAAAAATCAAATCATGAATGATAGAAAATGTAAATATCAAATAGGAAGTTAGTCCATCAATGCATGTACCTGAAATCAAAGATTTAGGTGCCGCAGATCTCCCCCGAGGACATGTTTTCTGAATAAAATCATATTGTTGTCCTCTCGGTGTGATAAATCCAGTGTGTCAGTGTGAGACTTGTCCCGTCTTACAGAAAGCCTTTTAATAATAAAGTAGTTTCCCCACAAAGAGGCTTTCTCTCTTTTTGGGACTTGTTGTCACCGATGACTCTGTCCGCCACGACAATAAGATGAACACATGAAGAAGAGACTGACTGGGCTTTAATCCCTCGTGTAAGAGTGTCCTCGCTCCTCTGGACATCCACACAGACGCATCCAGGAAGAGGCTATACGTTGGTCTCAAGGCCATTCATGTCGATGCTGCAGTGCTCTTTGCTCTTCTTCAGGTGCCTCGGAGGAATCGGAGGCTCCTTCCTCTCAGAAGGCGGCCGGACGCCCTCCTCCAGCTGCATCAGCCGGGCCACGTCGGAGGGGACGAGCTCGTGTTTGACCCCTGAAGAAGGGGGGCGGTAGTTGCCGTTGTTGTTGTGGCAGTTCATAAGAAGGGGGGTGTTCAGCACGGGTTTGGGCTCACAGATCAAAGGGACCTGGGGGGGGGTGACGGCGCCACAGAAAGGGTAATTAGGGTGGAAGTGGTGGAAGAAAAAAAGTGATGATGTCTGCAAGGAACATAAGGTTATATCCTAGGTACTTCCTTCCTCCACGTCTACTTTTATGGAGTGAAAAGGAAGCATTATTATTTGATGGCAGGTCTCCCTGCTACCGCTATTCGACCTCTGCAGCTCATCCAGAACGCAGCAGCTCGACTGGGCTTTAACCTTCCCGAAATTCTCCCACACTACTCCACTCCTCCCGCATCCAGTTCAAAACATTGGTGCTCACGTACCATGCTGTGAATGGATCGGGTCCAGCTTACATCCAGGACATGGTCAAACCCTACATCCCGACCCGCACTCTCCGCTCTGCATCTGCAAAACTGCTCGTCCCTCCCTCACTGAGAGCAAAACACTCGACTAGATCACGACTCTTTGCTGTCCTTGCTCCTAAATGGTTGAACAAGCTCTCTGAAGACACCAGGACCGCAGAGAACCTTCACATCTTCAGACTCTACCTCCACTAAAACACTAACTGTAGCACTTAAATTGTACTTATAATGGCACTAATCTATAGAAAGTTGTAAATTGGCTTATTTTATGAAATTGCACTTTCTTGTTTCTTGTTCTTCTGAGTTTGTATCCTCATGTTTGAAATGCACTTATTGTAAGTCGCGTTGGATAAAAGCCGCAGCTAAACGACATGTAATGATGCAACAGAACTATGAGTCGAATATGTAATATGTAGTTCTGACTTTCAGGAAGTAGTGTTCACAGCATACCTGGACCACCTTTCAACCACAAATTAGCTTTGTGACACATTTGTGCAAATCTCTGTCCGTGTTTTCTCTCTTTTTGCAGAGAAAGGAAGCTTAAAATAAAACTCACCCCATCGCCTTCTTTCATGAAGTCTTTCCTGCAGATATGGGCCATGATGCCTGTTGCCAACGCATCCCCCATTACGTTTACCATGGTGCGGAATCTGTCTCTGTAGAAGTCAAAGGCGTTCAAGAGGAACAGTTCAACTTAAACCAAATCTTTTTTTTAAATATTTTACCAAAACGAGGGATTAGGAAGATGAGAGGGGCTCATGTGATTTGGCTGTGAGATTATTAGTTCTGACACACATGCTACTTACAATGCCCAATCCACTGCAATGATGAGAGTGATGTCATCAGTTGGCAAGCCGACGGACGTTAGCACTATCACCATGGTGACCAGTCCAGCCTGTGGAATCCCGGCTGCACCGATACTGGCCGCAGTGGCTGTGATGCTGGAGATTTAGAAACCCGATGTCCATTAGTAAACATAAGAGCAACATGTAATGTAACAACTGAAGAGATAATAATGGCAAATCTTTTTTACAATTGACTGTTCAAAATCATACAGGAAGAGAAAAGAAAGATACCAAAGGTCGCGCTAAGATGACTCCTCCGTCCCAGCGCAACAACAGACCCAAAACGGGACTGGGATGGAAGGGGGAGGCTCAACATGTTAAACGTAGAGGAGTGCTTTGGGCCATTCAGTCTCATTGTAAGGGACATTGTAAGTAAACATTGTTCATGAATTTACCTCACTGTGGTTCATTTGCTATAACCAAGCATACTCTACATACAGAACTTGTAGGAGTTTCTAAAGACAAAACCATCATCACAATCAGTTGAAAGAGGTTACCACGCCACCAAATTGTGCACATGGCGAACAAAACAGGCCACAAGCCTCCTTTCGTGTCTGTATCCTCACAGACTCAGCCGTTCATTTAGCTGAACTCAACGCTCGCTTAATCGAGTTCAAAACACCCTTCAGCTTCAGACTGATCGAAAGCGTCCTCCCTGTGAAACAGGACGAGCTCTTAAATATACAGATTGTGTGGAGAGTGAACTGTATGTGGGGTTACATCTAATTTCTGGTGCAGATCCAGAAGCTGCGCAGGGGATGATCCCACTGCTCATCATAGGGAGAAAAAGCAAGGGGGGTCAAAGGTCGAGCTGTGCCGCGACTTGGATATGGTGGTTTAATGAGGCCACATGGCTCTTTTCAGAGGGAGATAAGCGGATGGTTTCTATGTTGAATTATGTAGAAAATTCTACAGTTGCAAAAAAAAGAGATATTGACAAGTGATGGTGGTGGTTTTTATTTTGTTACTAGTGCTGGGCAAAGATGAAACAATTTAACTCGATTAATTGCCTGATTTTCTGTGATTAAATTGCATTGTGTGTGTAAAATTCATTAATTTGTTTAAAAAAGATTGTATTGCACGCTTTTATTTTAAAGTAATGTTATCAGATCAATGTAAGAGGAGCAACAGTATATCAATCTGTTTTCTTTTCTTATGAACAGGTACCAGAAACAAGGGACGCCATAATGCATCATGCAGCATATGTTCAGTACTAAGGGTCCCTATTAGAGGGAAGTGGTTTAGCTAAAAAAAAACACTTTTAGTCTGTAAAAACTGTGGATTTCCTTTCCATCTCAGTGAAGTAAAAAAAACACTTGAGCAGATACCCAATAACAAAAATAACTTTTAACGTCCACTTTTTTTTATCAATTCCACCCACTTTACATTTACTTACTCCTCTGCACCGAGCCAGTATCAAAGACACACAAGGTCAACAAGGTTTTCAGATGATAAGGAACCTCTCTTCTGAACAATATGACCAGAGAAAAAGGACCTTTCACAGGGTGCAGATGTACTTCAGACTGCTGTGTGGGTCTGGATGTCGTGAGTGCACAAAAGCCTCCTCTAGAGTAGCTGTCAGTACTCTGTCAACGTGAAACCTTCCATGGTTACTGTCCACACACTGGGCTGTCACATAGATGTGCTTTTAGCCTGGTATCTTTCAATGTTTTATAGGGCTGTCTATTTTTTTTTTTTTAAAGATTCCCAAAATTCAAAGGTTGTTATTTCAATGTATTTCTTCACGAGTAACATATAAACTGATTTTTACACATCAGAACACTCACAATGGGTCTGCTTTATCCTCACAAATTTGTACAGATGGACAAAGTAGTTATTACACTTTTTATCACGGTTTTGTCATTTTCGGAGAAGAGGCCAAAAAGCACTCTGAGTTGACTACTTTTGCTTCTTTAGCATCCAAAGATCCAAACATCCCACACTCAGTGTGAAACAATAATAAGGTCTTCCTTGTGTCCACTCAGGATAACTTCAACACATAAACCTGGTTCAAGGTTCATTCCCTTTTTTTTAGAGTGTCTTCTCGTGGAGGACATAAGCAGTATTTTTATAATGTAGACAGGGTGCAACAAAAGGAGTATTGCTTTTGTTTGCAGATTATCTGGTGCGTGCTGTAACAAAAAAACATGTGCTTTCAGTCATTTATATTAGCAGTTGAGGTTTAGGAATCTCACAGAATTACCTAATGAGTGTTATCAGTGTTAAAATACCATCTATACCTCAGAAATCAATAAAACGGTAGCAGAGGGTTAGGGTTAGGGTTAGGGTTAGGGTTAATCTTAATCAGAATTATTCAACTATATACAGTGGTTGAATAATCTGTTTAGGAGAAATACAAGACCTATCAAAGGTCAATCAAAAGATTAAAAAACAAATTCTAAAGGCAGCAGTGTTTATCAGTGTTCATCAGAGTTTAAGTGAAGTTCTTGTCGGTGATTAAACAGCTTCTGAAACAGACCTTCGATATGTTTACTGCACTTTCTTGGATTGCTTGGTGAAAGGCAGGATCCTTCTCAAACGCAAAGTCTTCATAGATGCTTGTATAATATTGTGTCCTGAACATGAAGGACCCTGAGATGAATCAACCTCGTCTCTCTTCTCATGCGCCACATTTAAAACTAGCACTTTTTATCTGAGTTATAGATGTAGGCACATTTGTGCTTCAACTAATCAGTGTATTGTGGACATTTGAAAAGTAATACATTATGCATAATGTATATCTGCTTGCCAGTTTAAAGGATTTAATGACCTCGACATTGCCTTATAATCCCAATAAAATCTTCCCTGCATTAATGAGCTTAGAGTAACAGCTGGTATACGGCACGGTCCACTGACCTGATGGTGATGATCTGGCCAAAGTCCAGCTCGTAATTGTTAACTTGTGCGATGAATATTGCTGCCACGGCCTCGTAGAGAGCGGTGCCGTCCATGTTGATGGTGGCGCCCACGGGGAGCACAAAGCGGATGATGCGGCGGTCAATGTGGTTGTTCTCTAAGAGGCACTTGAAGGTTATAGGCAATGTGGCAGAGCTGAGGAAGACAGAGAAGAGGACAGAGAACTCAGAACAATCAACGGTCAGGAGATAAGAATGCCATTATTTATGAGTCCCGGGCATGTGTGGCGTGGACCAGTGGTGTTTGCTATGGTATGAGAAACAGCAGGAACCCTTATGAAACATTCAGGATGCAGGTTATGCTTCAACAAAGTGAATAAAGAACTCGGTGAATCTCCATACATACTGCCGTCTCCAGTTGGCCGCGACAAAGATTGATTGCTCAACATTTATTGCGCCATGCCAAAACCAAATCATGTGAAATCACACAACCGTCATTGCTAGGGAGCATTTTCCAAATAAATCTGTGTTCCAGATTTTCACTTTGTGGCTTTTCTGTGGTCCAGGCAGCCACTGGGTTGCTTTCATTTCTCTATGTGGGTAGAAAAAGAAAACACAAAGTCTACCACAGCAAAACTGTCGCTAATCAGACACAACATACCTGATCACTGTCGGTGTTCACTAAATACACTGAACGTCTGGTAAAGAGAAGGTGTCGAAAATATCAACAACATGTGCATGCATGGATACGGATGGGTGGGCGCCAGTCTACTCAAATGTGTGGAATGCTCCTTTAAATTCCCATCTCCTCCCACGCACCAGATGTTTCCTGAGCTCAGTAGCAACAAAAACAAGTTTGTTCTCCCGTAGTCATTTCCTTTACCTGGAAGAAGTCGCCAGGGCAATGAGTAGGGCTTGCAGGATTCCCCGTATATAAACGATGGGGCTCTTTTTGGTGATGAAGAAGTACATGGAAGGCAGGATGAACAGGCCGTGCAACACCAGCCCAAACACCACGGTAACGGCGTAGAAGCCCAGCTTTTTCCCCATGGCTGAGGGGTCACTCATCTCCAGGATCTTACCGGCCACAAGGAACACGATGCCGAACGGGAAGTACCTGCCAGGACGAGGTGTAATTAAAAGGGCTGCAATGGTACAACAAGATTTAAAATCAGTTCAGTAATTGTGTACACTATCCTTCCTTTTTAAAGTGCATGTTAACGGTTCTAACATCTAGAGACATATTCTGCATGAAAACAGCAGGAATGTCATATCAGCTAACTTCCATCAAATTGTAGAATCCATACATTTACTTCAATGAGCGGGGCTTCTGTACTCTCACCCTGTGCTGCCTGCATTGTTATTTATCTATCAGATATCTCTATCAGATGGGTTGCATGGATTCAGTGTTGACAGTGATGTTTAGGTGATCTTTTGGTATCAGGAGTGGGTGGCGCTGTGGTAGCGCATTCAAGTTATGAAGTGATTCAAGCCTTGAGCATGACACTATGATGAGATTGTGACGATCTTTTCTTTCGTCTGAATCAACGTATGTTTGGATGAGGTTTTTACCATATAACAATAGCAACAATTCTAAGGACGGCCTCATTCAGGCTCTGGCAGAAGTTCACCAAGGCGCTGCCATTTGGTCCCATTCTTCCCAACATGATTCCTGTGGAAATAAATGGCACCATCGTTAAAACGATGGTCTGAAGCATTTAAAAATTGGGCCTGATGAATTCTGCCTGTAGCCCCCACCCATTTTACCCATGGTAGCAGAAAATATAACAATTCCAAGGACGTTCATTCCGTCGCTTGTTCCTTCCCGAATACGAACAAGCACATCGGGAGGCGGAGTCAGGTCAAGGGCAAAGTTCTGGACGTCGGTTCCATTATCGTCCTGGATGCCATAAATGAGCGCTCGCCGCGTGGTGGACTCTGATTGGGCCTGACTCACCGTTGGCTTGGGTATCAAAGTGTACTCGCTGCTTGTTCGATACTGTTGCCAGGGAATAAAAACAGAATCAGAAAGAATCCTAACATTTGTGTTTCAAAGTGATGTGTGATGTGGATTGTCTCACCTGCTGAAATGTGGCCTGGACCAAGTTAGATGGGAACATGTTGCTGTGAAGGAAGGATGCACATTTATTAAAACACTTTTTGAATGTTACATTCTTACATATCTATATCAATCACACCTTCTTCACAAGGTTTTTGTTCTGTTGACGGACCTGGCAGAGAGTCAGAGTCGGTAGGCTTCAAATAAATCATCCCAGTGTTCACAGCAAACTGATTTAATAAAGCGCAGGAGCCTGAAGTGCGACATGCAGCTTTCTCTCTAGTACATATTTTAAAATACAGGAACTGAAAAGCTTTAAAAATCAAATGTTGTCTTTGTTGCAAAATTCAAAACACTCTGAAAAATTGTGAGGATGACATTTCACTGTAACAAATTGCTGTAAATTTACGGTGCATTTCTAACGGTATCTTACAGTATGTCATAATAACTGTAACATACAGTTAAATTTCCATCCCTTGATTATAAATTAACGGACAATGTCATGAATAAACAGTTAAAGCTGTCAATTTACAGTAATAGCAGACTACCATAATTCAACTGCATGTTACATATATTTTATGAAGTGGTGGAAATACACATACAAGTGCAGTGAATCAAAATCTATCGACATCTGTTGTAGGTTAATGTATGGAAGCCCATGTCAGCAACTGAAAAACAGGTCCTGTAAGTCATTATAATGAGATACAATGATGACTTTGATTTACAGGACATTACTATACATGCAGCCGTCACTTTTATCCAAAACCCCCATGGTTTGACATAATTTATGTGGAGTAATTGGGGGTTAGGTGTCTTGCTCAGGGACACTTCGACTTGGCACAGGGAGCCGACCTTATGCTGCATAGCACACCCTCCCTATCCCATGCGCTGCCTTCGCTGTCATTTCAGTAGCAGGAATGTAAAGATTATAAATATTTGTATTATTCAAAGTGTTCATTGCCTAAAAGTCATTTGAGTGTCAATCGTGACCGACTGCTCCTGAACGTGACGTCAGACGCGTAATCTCAGTTTATCCAGAACACCTGTGCAGTTCAACATCTTGTTGTCTTCCTCAACTTTGTAATTTTAATATTTTACCAATGACAGTGTTTCTAAATATTTTATTTTGGTTTGTTTTGCAGAGGCACTGGATTAAGGACGGCAGCCGTTTGCTGCGGTGAATTGAAAGTGTTCCACAGCGTATTGTTGCAGTTGGTTTACCTTGTTCCCAATGATTTTATGATTTATTTTTTTATTATTGTATACATGCGGCATGTTTTATGTTTTGTTCTTGGTTACAAATACCTAACATTTTTGTCTTAAAGGCATCTAATAAACTCCAACCACTATGACTGAAATGAGTTTGGTTGTCTTTCTTTAATTTGAGGGGAATGAAATGCAAAAGTATTCGGTCATAAGTAAACGGTAACATTCAGGTATTTATAACACAAAAACAGTAATCATATATATATACGGCAACATACCGTATATTACGGTAGGGCACTGTAAATCAAACTGTAAGTTACTAGTGTCGACTGCCAGTAAATTGAAGTTAATTCACAGTAAAATTGGTTCAAGTTTACGGTAACATACAGTTATCCATTTTACGGTAACATAGTGTAAAAAAACATTGCGGTATTATACCGTAAAATAACAGTAAATTCCTGCTGTCCTTGCTGCCTGTAAAATACCGTTAATTTACGGTGAAATTTTTTAGAGTGTTGCTTTAGTGAGGGGTTATTACTCCCGTTTAGTTTTCCGTTTATAATTAATTGGGCCTGATATTATTTTGTGCCATCTTGTCCAGAGCTTCAATTCATTTTAATATTGATTTATATTCATGAGTAACAGAACAGAATGTTTCTTAGCTAAGATTGTATAAGCTCACAGATACAGTTCCCTGTCTGCAGTTATGGGAGCATATATCATTCATATCATAGAATATAATAATGTTTGTGTCATATTGTTTTCCACATACCATTCGTTGAACTACACCACTGCACAGTGCTGTTTGTCTAACACCTTATTCCAGAACATGCTGTCTGTACAATGTATATGCATTTACTTTTCACACTTCCAATACATCACGTTCATGTGCTGTTAATTGGTTATTTATTATAGGGCCAGAAAGGTGAGGCGCAACTCACCTCATACAGTTTACATTTCACAAAAAGCACAACACAGGCCCGTAAGGCAGTTGCATGTTGTCCTTCCTTGAGGCAACTGAACAAAAAACAACCCTGATGATGTAATTGGCAGTCACCAGCAGTAATCTGTGCAGGGAAACAGCACCACAAAACTGACGACATGGAAATTTAGCAGAAATTCCCAGGCAGCTACGTTAAGGTGCAACGTGGCTCACGCTAACTACCTTTGACTGTGATTGGTTCAGGCAGATGTGTGGGCGGGACCTCAATGACGCGGTTCCTGGCCCCCAATTCACTACTTTCATGATAAAAAATCTCATGATGGGAATGAGATGGTGTACTTCTATATATAACGTCTATGGGTGGATAAATACAAAACAACTAGTTGGGGTGTCTTGGCCTCTTCTGCTGCTCAGTCAACTTCTATACCGCTTATCCTCAGAAGGTGGACTGGTCACCAGTCAACCACAGGGCCGACGTAGGGACAGACAACCATCCACACTCACATACACACACTGGAGTCACCAATTAACCTGATCCCCAGAGCATGTCTTTGGACTGTAGGAGCAAGCTGGAGTAGAACCTACCGGACACAGAAACGCTTCTCTGTTGCTGTGATTTTGACAATTCATTTTTTTAAACAGAAGTTCAATTCTGAATACTAGTGCCTGTGCTAGTGAATGAACCGGTCTCCAGCTTGAGAGAGCTCCTGTTGGAAGCTGAATGTGTGTTCTGCGGAGTGAAAGATAACGTCTTCTCCATCAATTTATGAGTTTGCTACAATATGTTGGATTCATGTTAATGTGTCTTTAAAGACCGTAAATACAATTCTGATTCTGAAGACAGTTAAATTTGTAGAAAAATATTGTCCGTTGAAGACCTCTGCTGTATTTATTAATGGTACCTCCATGACCTTTTATATCTCACAAGGACAATAACTAAAAACATTACAAAGAGCAGAACAGCATGTGCTCATTTGTACCATTTAAGTATGAAGCCCAATGTAATTGCCATGTATTGACTAATGCTCTCATATGTTCCCATTATGAATGAGGAACCGGTTGTCCGTGGGGTGCACATGTACAGTCCGATGGAGGTGATGTCGATCCTACCGGATGAGGTCCAGCAGAGCATCAGCTGAACTCATGATAGGCTTGCCGCTATCCTCAGAGTCCTCTTTCTGGGCTGCACCGCCTGGGTGGATGATGGAGACCATGATGATTCCCACTACCACGGCAACAAAGGTGGTCCACAGGTAATAGGACACTGTGATCAAACCGAGCCGACTGGAACACTTGGCGTCGAGGGCTGCCAGTCCTGACATCAAACTGGGAAGAAACATTGGAATAAAGTTGAGGTTAAAATATTCGTTTAGACATGAAAGCTTCTTCTACCACAGCGTGTTCTCCCTCCTGTTCAAAAGTGACTTAAAATATCAGCTTGTGCCTAATGCATATAATTATATAGCTTGCTCTTCAGTGTCTTCTTTTCTTCTCTCTTTTAGATCTGTTTCTATGTGCAAGGAGGGCAAAGCAAAATAAGAATTTCATTGTACACAGTAACTCTGTTAACGTGTTCACATGACAATAAATATCATGAATCTTTTGAATCTTCATCAATCATTATCACAGGCCCCCATTATTCCTTGGCATTTCCTGTATTACATAACAGCCTCGAAAATAATTCCTCAGTTGAATTGCTATTTGATACCAAAAAAATCTAAATGTTACTGATATTCAATTATGTTCATTAGGGCTACTGTTGGCCACCTTTCTATAATCTCTAATATTTTTGTCCAAAGGTGGCAATAATTGCCAAATTGTCAAAGCCTCTACAGAAAATGGTTAAAAAAAATGATTGTGGGCGGCCGTCACTATCCGACACCATTGTTTGCTGACCTCTGACCCGTCGCTTCACCTCCGCAACTTGCGTAACTGTAACGCTGGCGGCCTCGTGAATATATAGTAATTTATTTATGTGTGCATTGTAATTTATTTCTAAATCCTTCTCTGTGCATTTGCAAATCCAATATATTTGTGAATTCCGTTCCGTGCGCATTTGTGAATCTTTTTTGTTTGCATCTGTCAGTCATTCTGTGAGCATTTTCAATTTTTGAGACCAATCTGACCCCATAGATATATAGTCTGTGCTCAGGTTCAAACCTTAATTGTTAGATATTTGACTATTGCCATATTGAGTGTACACCAATTATGAGAAATCATTTGATAGATTGGTTATTGATGCCAAGCCATAAAAATATGTTGTGAAATGAAGTTTTAACACGAGCCAAACACTAGCAGCAACTCTTTATTTGCAATTCTAAAGATATACTGTGTAGTTTATTTCGGTGCAGGTCAACCCTGTGTTTGTTTGTCGTTAGGGAATTAACCTCTGCTCTTTTGTTATTAACATATTTGTCAAAGCAGAAATCAGTTTTGAGCTTTTTATTTGTATTAGTCATTCAACTTCTTCAGCGCAACTCTCTACATCTTGAGATTTTCAGAGAGCTCCAAACATTGAGCAACACATCTTTATTAAATATTTATCTTCACACAAATGCTGGCAACTTAATTCTATTTTCTGACGGCTCTTTCCGACCGCCAAAGATATTCCAAATCTTTGAGACTGCATATCTTTTTCCAAAGATATGAGACTGCATTCAAAGTAAAACAAGGGGATAAATGGCTTTCTTCAGGGTATTGCGTTTGCTTATAGTCTCCGGAGGCGAAACATTTTGAGAGCTAAACTGTTGCTTCAAATCCGTTCAGTAATGCATATGAATAATTCACACAGTCTATAAAGAAGAGTGCTTCGACTCGCTTCTTCATTATCACCAGAAGGTCCACCAGAAGCCACATAGAGAGCAATGTAATTACAGAGCCAAGCTGGCATAACATCAGTGTCAGTGGTTTGAGGGATTTCTCTTGTGAATGTAAAGAGGCTTAATCCTCCACAGCTCTCATTCAGGACCAGGAGGCCACACAGTGATGAGTAGATACTGAACGCTTCCAACACAGCAGCTAGCTATAAGGAAAGGAATCTCTGTCTGTGTGTGTCCTTCCCAGATATGGAGAAATGATAATTCTGACAATTCTGCTCATTGACGGACGTTACAACTCAACTCGTCTCCGCTTCCCTGCACAGCAAATTTCAGAGAGTTAAATTGACTCTGTGAGATTGAATTTTAACTCTATGCTGGTGTTTATATTGTCCTAATCTTGTCAGTGTTAAATCAACACTCAACAAAGTGTTAAGTTAACTGTGAATAAGTGTCAAAAATAAATCTGCCCAGGCTTAAATACATTACATGTCATTTAGCTGACACCCAAAGCAACTTACATTGCATTTTTAACCCATAGTTTTTACATTTTAGCCAGGGGAGCAATTAGGGGTTAAGTGTCTTGCTCAAGGACACTTTGACATGGGACACGTAGCAGCCGGGATTCAAACCACCAAACTTGCGGCTCCAGGCTCACCCTCCCCCCCTTGCGCCACAGTATGTAGAGTTAAATTGAACGCCAAGAAGTGTGACACTGTACAGTTACATCTCAAACCTATAAAAAGAGTTAATTTAACTTTACTAAGTGTTGCAAATGAATCTGATCTTGACACTGGATAATGACTCCAGCTCTTTCCTACAATTGACTCTGTAAGAGTTGAATCAACTTTTTGCAGTGTGATCTCAACTCTGCACTTGAAACACTTTTGCCGAACACCGAACAATTAACTCCAAGAATTTTGCCGTGTGGAGACGGCCGAGCACCGTGGAACTCTGCGATTACACCCTCCTGGTCTGTTACGCGATGGGCCCAAAAATACTTCCTTTACCGTCAGACCTACATTGTGAAAGACACACTCTTTCAGCTTCCCACTGTGAATGCATAAACCGATAAACGATTAGGTTTGAGTTATGTAATTCAAAATTAGCGAATTGTCCTATTAAGGAAGAGTTAAAGGAAATGTCTGTGCGCTTGCTCCCTGTGGATTTTGGTAATGGATAATAATGGAGTGAGGTTACTGGCTCCGTCATTTGGTGCTATGCTTCATAACCAGAGCTTTATACTTCAAATAGTGGGCCTGCTGATGTTTCTGGAATGTTCAAAGAATGTTCACTTCAAAGACTTAAATACTTCACATTTTGATTTAAACTAGAGCATGCATTCATTGGAACATTAGTGAAGGACAGGTGATTTGTGAGCCCTCATTTACTATTTGTGCAATCATCATGTTTTTTTTCAGCTTGGTTCTACGTGTCTTTTGTGAGACTTAAAGTCCTTTTTATGTTGTGGTGTTCCTTACTTCATATAAAACAATCTACCTTTTAAAAGGGTATTTTTTTAACTGAGTCTGGTTCAGAAAAAGGCCCTTCAGCCACATTACATCACTTCCAGCAAACGTGGCAGAGAACAATAAGGTCAAAATAGCGCCACGATTCCTTCTCACCAAATCTGCACCAGGTCAGCTGAATACACAGAAACACTGTCAGCATGTTAGTGTGCCGTTCACTACCGAGCCTGTTTGTAACCGGTAGCAACAACATTATCGTCGCTCCACCTGTCTCTCCTTCGCTCCACGCGTGGAGAGGTTGAGCGCTTTGGCAACGGATGCAGGGAAAACACTGGAGCCATACAACTGCACCGGATACAATGTGCACTGTTGCTTGATAATAACAACTCTTTGTAAAGGCAGTTGATTTGTTGTGCAGTATGAGTTGTGCAGCTTTTTTCCATCTTAAGCCCAAACTTGTTTATCACACAAATATCAAAACACTCCTTTAAAGGGCGGACATCTTTCCAGGTGGTTAGGCCTACGTGCCTTCTACATGTAAGGACCTTGTGCCTGTAATGACGTTGTACTGTACATGTAATGACTTGGTCTGTACAAAGCAACTTAGACATCAGTCACAGGTTCTTCCATTCCCCCCTCCAAAGTCTCAGGAGTCATCTTGGTGGGCGAGTGGGAATTAAAGAGTTGGAAGCAGGGAGGGTTGAGCACTCGTGACTGCCATGTGCTCCCAAGACCTCTATTCCTGTACTGGGACGATTCTAACCAACAGCTTCCTGACCTCTTAGTTTGCCTGCACTCTTGAGGCTTGAAAGGTTTGCATTGCCAAACGGTAAAAAAATGTATTTTAGGGGCATCGTGGGTTTCCAGATGAAATTAGTCAGATTTTCTTTTTGGTACAACTTCTTTTTTCTTTTATCTATTTCATTATTCAATATTTTACACTTGTACTGAAATGTATTGGTGCATTTAACATCTTAATGCTGTGAGGATTATAATGAGCGACACACAGTCCCGTACCTGGACACAACGAGGGGGAGAATCAGCATCTTCAACATCCTCATCAGCAGCTCCCCCGGAAACTGGAAGTACTTCACCTCCTGCCAGGAGGAGAGCAGAAGACATAGTCACAGGTCATTTGAGGAGTAGCATTATTGTTAAAAAAATAATTGAACAAGACATTAATATTGTTTAATTGTTCGGGCTTTCAAAGGACTGCGAGGGCTGAATATGAGCTCGCTTTCTGCAACCTACTCAAAGAAGATGGAAAAAGTAATTCCTTTTTTTAATCCAATTTATTTGGGATTAAAACTGTGCCATGCTGAATCACCTTCATGTCTGAAATAACGTGCTTGACTATATTCCTTCATCTTTTTTTAAGTAAAAATAATAAGCTTTGCAACTGATTCATCCATTTACTTTGTTACTACAGCAGCTACCTACGTAAGCTCTGATGCCAATGTACACACCAAAACATTTTCAACTACATATCATGAGAGAAAAAGTCTGTAGGAAGGTGAATGGGGTGAATGAATAGAAAAGAGTCCATCTGCAGTCTCGCAGGCTAAATGACCTCTCCTGAGATAACTTCGAGGATTAAAATTATTATTTTAACCAACTTCATGACACTTTCCCTAACCTAACCAACCTGGCCGTTTCAATGACGTTTCAACATGTGGATGGCTTGTCCTGTGGTAGTGTGCACCTGTAGATAGACTTCCTCGAGATAGACGAGTCAAAAACGTGAATGAGTTTTGTTCTGTGAAATCAAAATTCAACATAAAAGTATTTACTTCGACTAAGGCACACAGCACACTCTACTCGCATAAAAACCACACTTGTTTCACCAAACCACCATGTTTGACCTACATTTAACAATGTAGTTTTGTAACCTACACATAACACAGCAGTTTTGTTGGAATGCCGAGGAGTCCTGACGAAGCGACTATACAGCCAAACAACAATTATTATCCTCTGTCCGTACACACATACATAATCCTAAATTGAAAAGAAAAGGAGAGCAGCCAAGAAACCACATATAAAAGTCACGTGGCGTGCTTCCAAGGCCCAAGACTGTTGGGTGACATGTTTGGCGGAAGCGTTCGGATCTCTCAGGCTTTGTGTGTATTTGTGTCAGAGTCCGCTGGGCTTAACCCAACACTGGCATCCACCCTGCGCAGCAGTGAACAGCTGTTCTCCACCGGCTGTGCTGCTCTATCCCCCTGCAGCCGGACCTCAGATGGACCCGGTTAGTCCCTCCCAACTCGTCTCTGGGCTTTCACTGTGTTATGGGAATATCTGCCATGAGTTGGTACGTACTCGTTCTTTGAAAATGACAACAGTTCATGGGGATGAAGACGTTGGCTGTCGAGTGACCCAATGTGCCACAAGAAAGAAGTACATAATGTTAATCTTATTAGTAATAAGGTGTGTGTGCCTACTTTTCTTTATGATGGTCATTTGTTTGTGTCCAGGACTGATGAAGATTGAAACGTGGGCGTTATCATTTCAGCCAAGTATCTGCTGAATGAAATGAGATGAAATGTTTATTCCGGAACTCTGGCCAGAAGGATCATTTGTCTATTATGAGCTGGGCAGGACGGGAGTTGTCAGGTCAAAGGTTGCACTAGCTGTGGGAGGAATGCGTGCCATGGGCAATTACTTACCCTGCTAACTGATAATCCCCTTTTGTCATGGAAGTGTTATGGGCTGCATGTGGAGCAAAGCGCAGGGGATGAAGCTGGCCACATGGTTGTTTACAACCCTTAGGAGAACGGGGACAATGTATACGAGAGACTGTCTCTCCATGGTGACTTTCACAGGGCTATGGAGGCTACAGTGTCCTGGGCTTGGGAATAGTCCCACGGAGGACACCAGGCGGTCTTTCTGATGTAAGCAACAACTAAATGTGGTCTGGGTTGGTCTTGACTGTCCCATTGCAAGACAATTTACCCACAATCGTAATTAATGTATTATCCTTGAATATTTAATGGAAAAATGTAGATGTGTTTTTTATAGAATAACCTGGCTGGTCCACCCTCACAAAAGAGGGGAGCTAGATGATTATCCTCACACAGACAAATGCTTAAAGGGAATTCATCTACCTGGAGAGGCAACTATATGTACTGACAATGTCAGTACTCATGTCGAGAACAGGAGAGATTTCTGCTCCATGTACAGTATAATAATATTATTAAGATTAAGATAGTAAATGCGCAGTATTCCCAACTACAAGCACAAAAACAAATTGACAGGCAGACAAAAGCCTGTGCTTGTGCACAAGAAGCTCACCGATTTAAGACATAAATATGCGGTTTGCTTCCTTTGTAAACAAAAGAGAAAAAATGAGCAAGCCATGAGGGATGATTCCATGGCCAAGAGGAAAGAAATCACAGTTCCTAACAACTGTAAAATGTAATTTCCCATATACTTTTGATGGAATTTTAGGGATAGACAATGCAGCTTAGTTTGGGCGACAGCGTTATAGTAATTTCCTTCCTCTTCCTGTCATGTTTTACTGGCTGCATGCTACCAGAATGAATGCTGTCTGTTATGTTGGTGCAAGTCATTAATGAGAGAGCTGGCAAAGTACGCAGCCAAAATAATTCCATCGCTTTGTCCAGAATACAAAGTGATACGGTCAAAAGTTCTAGAAAGAATCCGCTTGGATAGATTATGTAAATGTATTAACTCCACAGATGAACAATTGCGTTTTTGAAGCCAAACACGGCGCTGACCTTTGACCATGTGTCTGAAAGTTTTTTTTATAAATAGATATGGAGGTCAAAACTCATCATTTCCTGTATGTAATATTGATCAAATCACATAATCGATTAACATGTGCTTTTGATCGGAGTAATGATATAAAGTTTAGTCAAAGAGTTGTCCCAAAAACACAGTGAGAGCTCCGGCTTGCTGGTAAATGCAAAGAAAATGGGTCTCAACCGTTTTCCTCTAGATGAAAACATCTGATTGATTTTTTTTTTGATTCTTTCATCTGATGATGTCTAAGAAATGGGTAAAGGATTAGTAAAACTCTAGTTAACCATAATATGCATATGATCCTGTGATTTTTAGTCCATTGTTTATCACAAGATCAAATCCCATGGCTATCTTGATAAATGTTAGAGGATGAATGTCCAAGGTTTCTTTAGTTCAAATTGTCTGATGACAATCTTTGTGTCTGGGATAAAGTTTTAATTCTTGGACATTTTATTACAAAAGAATGAATATTTATAGACAATGTTATAGGATCTGTGCCTAAGCAAATGTTCTTTCGCGCAAGGAAAGTATGTGTACAGATGGAGTAAAGATGGCGCTGTTTAATGCATTTTGTTCATCAATACGGCACACGTTTGGTCAGAAACAAAAAAGGCAAGCTTACCGAGACTTCAAGTAGCTTCCGATGACGCCATGAGAATATTAGAGGGAGTAGTGCCATCGAAATGTTTGAGGCTTCAGGAGTCAATACTTTCCAAACTGCTCTAAGAAATCGTATGTGTTACGCCAGATCAAACTTAAGGTTTAGTACTGAACTCGCTGCTGAGGAGACATTAGTAGAGCGCTCTCTTTGTAAGGTATGATATATATGATGTATTAAAAAAAAGGTTTACTTTGTGCAGTGCGAAAGGTCTGAATCTTTGCAGCATAGAAACACTTCTTAAGTGTTGGCGATTTACAAAGACACAACAGCACTCACCATGAGGAACAGAGAAATGTGTAAGTGCTGCTTTGAAGTATTTCCCCAGCACACAGTTGCACTGGCAATATTTTCTCAGTTGAAGAGATCGTCTATCTCTTAATTTTCAAACTCATATTATTTCCCTTGGGAGTTTGCTTAAATGTTGAATAGAATTATTTCCAGGAGGACAATGTACAGTCTAAAGGTTTTCGTACGTTTTGCTGGTTGAAAGTAAGTAAGTAAGTCCCAAATCAAACAATACAATTCCCAGGGTTGATCTGTCCTCAAACAGCGTCTCTTCTATCCATCACCTTGGTCTACGTATCAAAGTGGGATCATCTTTTGTCGAACCGGACGCCTCCAACTGCTGCATTATAGCTGTCTTTTATCTTGTTATTACAAAAGCTAGGATTAAGTAAGACTTGGCTGCCTAACCCTACAGTGGGATTTCTTTCACTACCACCACCAAGGTGGGATGAGCAGGAGGAAACCACTGTAAGGTTGAGACCACGGTGCAGTATTGATCTGATCATTGACACACATCTAAAAGTTGTGTTTTACAGAGCGAAGTGTTGGGTTAGGGATGTCGGGGGGAGTTGGGAGGACGGTGGAATGAGGGGCTGCAGGGCAGAGCGGGGGCATAATGACAGCTAAAGAGCTTTTCTTTTGGGCATTAAGTAGAGAGAGCTTAGTTTCCTGTATAAGAGCAGGATCAGCACTCGCACACAGCCAGCAGAGCAGGTTCCTCTCTGCTATGCTCATCTTCTACACACGCGTGTGGGTCGGTGTGTGTTGTTGGCCTGCATGCGTGCGTGTGTTTAAGTGTGTGGTGAATGGTGACATAATGGTACAGAAGGTACACATTGCAGAGAATAAAAATATTAAGCATGAAAGAATGTATGTGGAATTATTGTAAAAATAACTCACAGTGCTCAAATGACCGTTTTTCCACGGCCCGTCCAAGCTATCAGAGCAATCATGGAGCCCGGATACATCAGCTGCTGATTTAGGGAGCATTGTGGTATGTGTTGGTAAATCAACTTGAAGAAAAGTGCCTTTTTAAATGAGCCTATGCCCTTCAGCGGAACAGAAAACTACGGCCACAATTAAAGGAGCATGGAAGTAGCTAGTGGTGGAAAGGAGTACATTTACTCGAGAACAGTACTACTTCTCTTTCCGGAAAAAGATGCTCTGACCCATGACCTGACGGTGAACTTTGGCAACTTTGGCAACCGCTAGGAACCTCGGCGTGACACTCGACAGCCAACTCTCCCTGACTCCCAACATCACAACGCGATCCTGTAGATACACGCTCTACAACATCAGGCGAATACGTCCTCTTCTCACTCAGAAGGCGGCGCAGGTACTGATTCAGGCTCTTGTCATCTCCCGCCTGGACCACTGCAACTCCCTCCTGGC